TCGGCAACACTTTGGCTTTCAGTGTTTAGCTGAGCTGCTGGACGGGAGGAGTCTGGACAGCCTGAGATACACGGAGAGCTTTAAAACAACTTTAAATTAATCACCAGCCTGTTTGTTAACTGATTATTAGACTAGAGTCATTTTTTAAGGACAGAGGACCAAACTGTCTTATATTCTGTTTGATATCTTGAATTCTAATCTTCTGGTCTGTCTTTGCTCCTCTGTGACAGTAAACTGAATATCTTTGTGGACAAAACAACACATTTAAGGATAAACACTGATTCACATTTTTCCCAATTTCCTCATCGTTATGGACCAAACTAGTTATCGATTAATCAAGAAAATACTCGTTAGCTGCAGCCCTACAGTAAAGTGAGCTTCTGAACAAACACCTGGAGAAGGTGAAACATGGACGCTTACAGCTTCAGCCTCCGTCTCAGTGATCAGTGTTGATTCTCCTCCTGTTTAACGGACTCTCCTCTCAGATAGCTGCTGCTCCACCTGGATGCTGAACCTCCACAGTGGAGGAGGATGAAGCTGATGGTAGAAAAGGCTCAGAGATCGTATGTATGAGCAGGATTTTATGACAGCAGCTCGTTGGGAAGCTCATGTTGGTCCAAAATGCAAACATGAGCTGGAAACTCAAACCTGTCACATTAATACACCAGAAATAAACTTCAGACACTTCCATCAGCAGTTAGTCTTCTGACATGAACAATATCTGCTCATAAGTAGAGTCCAGGGAGAGCAAGCAGAGTTTTCATTATGACCAAACATGTTGTCGACAGGTTATCAGACTGAGATTGAAGCAGAAGGTTTTTCCTACATTAGATTTACTCTCCAGTATCAGTCAGGACGCTGCGTGGAGACTGTCCTGCAGCCAGTTGGTTCTGTATGGATGGACCTCTGCCGAGCTGGCTCTCCCTCCTCTGATTGATTACTGGAACTTTCCTCTTGGCACAGACCCGTATGTTTATAATTGCAATTAGACTCAGACCTCACAGTGACGGAGGTTTAATTTGCAGTCAACAAGAGGCTGGGGACGTTCAATAAAAGTATGAAAGAGCTTTTACTAGTCTCTGGTGCCGCTGCGCTCGGATACCGGCCGCCTTCGTGCACTCAGCACGGCTCACGGACAGCAGATAGAATCAAGTTCTACCGGTTAATATGAGCCCAGGAGCTCATGACTGTTATAGAAACGATGGAGAAGTTGGCAAGTGAATGGAGCTCAGGAAAAGCCTTATAGCATGAGTTTTACATTTACAATCACAAGCCGCTGTGAACCCTCACCGTGTGTCTTTTCTCCTCAGGTGACCCTAAAAGCTGGCAGAACAAGTCTCTGCCCGGAGACCCCAACTACCTGGTGGGAGCCAACTGTGTGTCCGTGCTCATCGACCACTTCTAGGGCCGGAGAAGGAGCTGCCATGTTACTGAATGTTGGAACACAATGAAGGAGATGGACACACACACACACACACACACACACACACACACATCCTGTACATACACTGACACACACACACACACACGGCGGAGCATGAAGAAGACCCTGTCGGCGGTGGACGACGGCGAGACGCTGACTGAGCTGTTCTTTAAACTCAATTTGAAGTTTTGATGTGAGATGATGAAACCTTTGATGCATGCCCCGTGTCACTGAGGACCGGCTCTATATATAAGGCAACGTTTAATGTTTAAATGTAGGCGGATGGACGGCGTCTTGAGGCAGCGTACGCGCTTCAGAAAAAAAATCTGTGTCAGTATATTTATGCTATATATGCATACGGTATATATAGTAGTATAGAGAAGATTTACTAAAAGTTCTACTCATCAGTTCAGTCCTCGTGGTTGTTGTTCAGGTTCAGGGGACTGAAGAAGTATCGCCACAGTTTTATTGTTTTCTTCTTCACATGGGGGGAGTTTTACTGAAAGTTGGAGGCAGGTGGTGACGTTTGTACGTATCTGTTGAAGGAGATGGCCGAACACGAGCTGGAACCCGAGCAGCACACTTTAGAGACGCTCTTCCTCCGTTCTTCCTCCAGTACAACCTCGTAGCTTTGCTTTCTTACTGAGTACCACGTCTCTCCTTCCAGCCTGAGGGAGATCTATGCATGTTCTTTACTCAGGTCCAGTAGCCTCCTCACTTCCTTCCTTCCTTCCTTCCTTCCTTTCCTTCCTCACATCTCTCTCCTCCTTCTCTTTTCTGTCTCTTCCCTCCTCTCTGTGCACTCTCGCACTCACACACAAATAAGCAGTGATGCCTTATCTGCAGATTATTCACTTTTCATTAAGAAGAAAAAAAAGATAAGTTATGTTAAATTATGGTATAATGTCATTTGTTTTGCCATTTTTTGTGAACCCACTGTATAAAGAGACTTGGGTTTAGCACACAGTAACAGTCGATAAAAGATAACCAAGGTATGCTCTTCTTTTATCTGCTATGCATTCCTCTGAAGAAGAAAACCAACCGAGAAGAAGCAGCGGCTGTAAATAAAGCTAGCAGATTGCCTTGTTTCTTTTGTTTGTAAATGGACTTTTTGTATGTCTTTCTTTTTTGTATAAAACTTAGAGAAAACATGTTTTAAAAAGCGGAAGACAGTGAACGTGGTTTTCTTTGTATTCTGGTTATTATACCCTGGAGCCTTGGAATCGTACCGCGACAACAACACACGACACCTTTTCTACCAGTATGTTGATACGGCCGCAAAAAACAGCTCTTTACAGCCATGTGAGGATCAGGAACGTACTCGGGATAAAGTTGCATTTAAAACACTTTTCTTTTCAAAGGGTGTGCTCTCTAAAGTGTCCCCCTCACTGATTTGTGATACTGGATGCTATATTGTGTGCCCTTAAATGTATTTTTGTACTAATAGACAATATATGATGTATGGCACACCAGTACTGTTTTATTTTTTAGATATAACACGGCTTTAATTGGATATTAGCTCTTCACGTGTGGCTGACTTTTTTTCTCCTCTGCAACACAATTTTAAGTATACCACTGTATTAATAAATAAAATCATTTTTAAAGTAAAACCTTTGTGTCTCTGAGGAAGTGTTTTTAACCAACAAGCTGAAACCAGCAGATGTTCTTTTATTCTTTGTTCTTTCTGCTGTTCACACCTTCTGTTTGACTTTAAATGAAGAATTTTGACTAAAAATGGAAGAAAATGGTGAAAAATGATCAGAATTCTCTTAAATCTGCTCGTTTTATCCAAACACGAGCCCAGAAATATTTAATCTGATAAAGAAAATCCAGAATCACCTTTGAAGAGGCTCAGACGGGAGTTTTGGGCACTTCTTTCTTTGTTTAGATCCTGTAAGGTTTTGCACATCCATGTTACTCGGATGGTTTGTTTTAGGTTCTCTGGCTGCCTTTCATGACGTTGCGTCCCCGCATGTGGCCGCCAGGTGGCGCAGGTGAGCCGTGAGTGAGCTCTGCTGCTGCACAAGGTCAGAAATGACTGAAGTCCTTCAGCTGTGGTTTCTGTGAGACCACCTCAGGATGAAACGAGGCGTGCAGGAGGATCCCAGAGGAACCTTAGAGCTTCTCAGCACCTCAAAGGTTCTGCTGCAGTCACGTGATGATCTAATAAAACTTGTGTTTGGTGACAAGTGATGAGACAGAATGCAGCCAGCAGGGCCTGTCGAGGTGAGGAGCTCATAGATGATCAGACAATAAATAATATTCGTTTATGTGACACAATCAAACTCTCCTATAAAGAACCCACCCGGACCAGAACCTCTCTGACTGGTTTTAATGAGCCCCTCTTTGCACCTGGAGCGCAAAGGCAAAGCTTTCAGCCGCTAATTATCTAATAAGGTGCAGCAGGTCGGACTCCTGTGCAGCTCTTGGGCCAGATCCTGTCCAGCTGTGCCGCATTTTCTACCTGCCGGAGCTGCTCACCTGCCTGATGAAGGACAACAGAGACAAATGACGATGCAGCTCCGGCGCTGCGGCTGGAGGCTGCTGGTTCTGCACCTGGGCTTCATCTTCCTGCTTCATTAGAGCCTGATTCTGAACATCTAACAAAGCAGCAGCACGCAGTGATCTGATCCTCACCACGTTCCCTCATCAGCAGCAGCACCGGCAGCAAATCACGGCACGTTCTTTATTTTTCTTCCCCCATGTTTCCTCCCTGGTAGTAGGCTGAGAACACACCTCCCTCCCGCCTTCACCATCATCATCATCATCGTAGTAAAAACAGACTCCGCGCAGCTCGCCGCCATGAAGACGCACAGAGTGGCTCATCTCCAATGCGCAGTGAGCAGCTCCTGTCCTGGCTCCCGGATCTGCTGTCGTCTGTGAACAGCCCGGCTGGTGCCTCACACAGAAGAAGCGCTGCTGGTTCCGACCCGCGCGGCTTCCAGGCAGCAGAACCACCAGAACCGTCCGGCTTCATTTTACGCATTCAGGCGTTTTTTTTCTTCCTGCGTTGAATCTTCGAAGAGTCCGTTTCCCTCTTCCTCCTCCTCCTCCTCCTCCTCCTTGAAGCACGCTCTCATCCAGCTTCGTCTCCTCGCTGTGAGTTGTTGGGGCGCCTGCAGAGCATGACAGCGTGACAATGGTGCAGGCAGCCTGACAGCAGGATGCTGCGTTCCGGGTTTTTTCCTCTGTGCGGTCTGACTTTTGAGGAATGGGCTCTTCGCCGGAGCACTCACCGGGAACTCCTGCGGTTCATTTTGCGTATTTCGACCTGAGCAGATCCGTGCTTGTCCGTCCGTGTTATGTTCATCATCCGGCGCCTCGTCCAGTCCGCGCCGCTCTCACCTTCCTCCTCCCATCAGCCGCAGCGCGCCTCTAATTGGAGCGACTCGGAGCATCTTAATTGATGGAGATCTTCCACATCGGACACTGACCGGAGCTCCAGCGCTGATCGGGGGCTGAAAACACGACGCACCTGCCGTCATTGGATGTAATTGGACTTATTCTCTACACCTGCAGTCGTCTAAGCCCGGGTGGTTGTATCCGCTTTTTTTTTTTTTTTCCTAAACCAGCGACGATGCCGGTGAACGCGCTGCCCCGCGGCGGCAGCAGCGGCTTCGGCGGCCCGGGGTCCCTGAGCCCGGCGTCGCTGTCCCGGAGCCTGTCCCGGCTGAGGGAGTTCCGGACCCGGACGAGGATCATGCTGGCTCTGGGAGTCTCTCAGATGGTCCTGGGGAGTCTGATCCTGGCGGTGAGCTTCGCGGCTTTGGCCCTCACCACATCACCCAGAGTCCGGCACTCGTGTCCCTTCTGGGCCGGATTCTCTGTGAGTAGAACCACCGACACGCCATGTCTGTCTCTGTAGGTGTGAATCTATCATGATGCAAGTTTCAGTGCTGCTGGTGAAGAGGCTCCGCTGAGAGCCGGACAGACAGGAGCAGTGATGTAGAGCAAACATGTTCAACAGTCCAGGTAGAGAAGAGATGTGGTTGGTGAGAGAGGAAAAGGTGTTTTCAACCTGTGTGTGTGTACAGTAGGATACATCAGGGAGAACTGTCACAGAGTGTGTGTGTGTGTGTGAGTGTGTGAGTATGTGTGTGTGAGAGTGTGTGTGAGTGTGTGTGAGAAATTGTCATGTTGGTTTTCTGTGAATATTTATGAAGGCACACTTTCTTGGTTTCCTGCCAGAGGGCTGCTCCATTAATTATAGAGGCGGTGGGGCAGAGTGCAGGGTGAGGGGAGGTCTGTGGCACCGCGGCCATCTGTGGGTGTGTGTGAGACGGAGAGGCTGCGTGTGTGGGAGTGTGTGTGTGTGTGTGTGGGAGTGTGGGAGTGTATGGTTACAGGGGGAATGAGGAGGAACCCGGAGGTCAGAGGTCACAGGTCAGCCCACATTCTCCATCAGTGCCTGGAGCTGATTGGTCGAACCTCAGCGCAGAACACGTCACGGGTCTGTCGTGTCGTCTTGGTTTTTGTTGTCTTTCGGCGCCGAAACCTGATGCATCTTGTGTCCGGACAGACAGGGAAGCATCAACCGAGCATTCCTCAGTCCACAAGTTTTTATTCTGATCGCTCGACCAGAAGCTCAGTGGAGGAAGAAAAACCCTGAAAATGTCATAATGAGCACGAGCTGGTCGATCTCATCAAACCCACACAACAAACGAGCCTTTTATCTTCAGCAGAACCTGCCTGTTAGCTAGCGGTAGCACGCGCTCACCAAACACTAGTTCCTTAATTACATCAACAGACTCCTGCTGAGGAGGAACAAAGAAATAAATGAATCCTTCAAAGTAAAGGTTTCGTCTCAGATACCCACGAAAACCTGATGCTGCTCGAGATGAGGCGCTTCAGAGAAAACGATGCTGATCAGCAGCAGCTTCTGGAGCCTCGGCTGAGTCAGGTGCTGAAAACAAATCAGCTCAGCAGCAGCAGCAGCACAGAACCGCCGGCCACAGTGGCGCCAAAACTCAGATAATGTGGTTGAGGCCAGCTCCCCATCTGGAGACTGGAAGTGATTAGCCCAGGAGCAATCAGACAGTGGCAGTCCCTCTTTGGAATAATTAGCACTCCAAAATCTACCCTGGAAGACCTGAAACATCTCCACTCTGGGTCTCTGGTCTCAGTGCATGTTGAAGGAGAAGCTCTTTGGCAGGTTGTAGATTCGTGTCACTTTATCACAGACGGGTGACAGAAAACGAGCCGATTCCATCAGAGAACCATCGGAGCTGAGTTTGGTGAAGAAGACCAATCAGCAGCGTCTCAATCAGGTGGAGCAGGAAGCTTTTCTCTTCTGCCATTTTAGTCTAATAAGACGAGTACACAAAGGCTCGTCGCTTTGAGGCTGATTTCAGGAGAGCAAAGCGGTGTTTCTGTTTGGTGTGTGAGAGCTGTGTGGAAGCAGTTACCAGCCCTCCTGGTTCCAGAGCCAAATGTGTAGAATTAGAGAGCCGGCTGACGTTCTGTCAGGAGCCCAGCTGAGGTCTGATTTGAGTTAAATTGTCTAAACGAAGCTCCGCAGAGCAAAGTGATCAGTCAGCTCCTCCACAGCGCTGAACCTCGAAGCCACGATGTCGAGCTTTACTGCCACGTCGGTGAACTGAGCTAATGAGGGGACGTGACAACAAATCCTCAACCTGTGTGTGTGTGTGCGTGGTGTGTGTGTGTGTGCGCTCTGTAGGTGTGTGTATGTTTTCACTGTGGGACGTCATTAAGGATCTCTGTGTGATGACTGGTGTTGTGGGATTTCATCTCGGTCACAGCGAGAGAAGGCGTAATCTGTGCTTCCTACACAGAGCAATCACTGCTGAGCTCAGCCTGGCCGTCCCTCCTCTGCCCACACACACACCACACACACCACGCACACACACACCACACACACCACACCACGCACACGCACACACACACCACGCACACACACCACACACACCATGCACACACACCACACACACACACACCACACACACACCACGCAGACACACGCCACACACACACACCGCACACACACACACTTACACACACCACGCAGACACACACACATGCTGAGAAACACTAACACACGTATGACTTCTCAGTGTTTCTCATATCTGTGATCCGTCTCCCTTGTCCTGATTTTTCATCCTCTAAACAAAAAAAAAAAAACGCACACAGGTACATATATACAGATAGAGACACTCACACACTCTCACACACACCACTGCCGGGCCGATGGAGACTAGTCCTACAAACATCTTCGCCTCATGCAGCCCTGAGGCCTGTAATCATCCCACAGCCCTCCGTTAACCCGTCCAGACCAGCAGCCCGTCACTTCCTGTCGGTGTGATCTGGGCGACGAGAGATGACGCAGAGCGGCGCCGACTCCGAGGCCGATCAGCAGCCGGGTCTACCTGTCGGCCGTCTCGCCAGGTTCGCTCGACAAATGAAGCGGCCGAGCGAGCCAGAGGTCCGCTGCAGCTGTCAGCAGCTGACGTGCAGAACAAATTACGGTCCAGCTCGTGTCTCCACCAGCTGAGCTTGGAGCTGATCCAAGTGCACAAACACACGACAGACAAACTGCCGGGATGCAAACAGCCAAGAATGAAGACACTTCAGACTAAATATGTGGAAATGTAAATCCATCTGAGGCACTCAGTGCAGGTGTCTGCTGCAGATTGTCTGAATCTCTGATATTTCCTCTCCTCGGCTCTCGAGCTCCACAGAAGCATTTACTTGTCCTTTTTCTTCCTCCTCCCTCCCCCGCTCTCCTGGTTGTGTGCAAGAACACGAGTGTTGGTTTTTGTGTGGAGCTTCTCTGAAAGTAACACTTGAACATCCCAGATCTACGGACCGGGCCGGAACAAAGACGGCTTTAGATGGTATTCTTGGTGTTTGTTGTGAGGCTGCGTTTTCAGCAAATTCTGCACTAATCTGTGTGAGTGTGAGTCTGAACACAAGCGCTTTGTGGCGGGTTGTGTTGTGCTCGGTCTTTGTGTGGAGGGAGGCAGCCGAAGCCCACGTCAGAGTAAATCTGGCAGCAGAGGAGCCGCATGGTGTCGGCCCGTCCTGCCGCTCTGTCTGTCTGTCTGTCGGTGGGTGATTCCTGCTTTTATTCCAGACCAAAATATTCCCACAGCTAGCGGCCGGTGGATGAATCCTGCCGTGTAACATCCTACGATGCACCTCTACGTCTGTACGGGTGTAGCCTGCGGGTGTAAGCTTGCTATTGGCTGTGCTTTACAT